GAGACCGGGAATCAAACCGGAACTTCAGCGACGACAACTTGACACCGACGTGGAAATCACTCCGCTGCTTGGGTTCATAAAAATTTATTACTAAATATTTTTTCCCATTTTAAAATTATTTTAAGAAATCTCTACTCTTTAGATTACCACGAAGGAGTAATATTTATTAAAATTAAAAAATACCTAGCTATTAATACTGAAATAGATTTAATATACAGTAGCCCTCTATAGTAAGGCAGGATATTGATAATAAGCAAACAATAAAGATATTTTATTGAAGATATGTCTGAATATCACGTGGCTGGCCACGGGAACCTCGTTAATTGGCTATTTCAAAAGTTTTATTTTGTACTTATCATCAATTATTACTATCAATGATCCATACATATTAATAAACAAAATGGGTCTGTTCACGATAAATTTAATAACTACGGTAGGGATTAAATAACTCTCGAATCAGCCTGTATATTGTTTCGGTTGCCTGGAAGATACATGTTTTTAGCCATAAGGACGCCGATTGTACTGTTTATACGTTTATTGTTATAATTGTTATGTGGATTTTTCTTTGAATGTACAGTAAAGTTTTCATTTATTTATTCATTGTTGAATATTTAGGTAATTTCTGTTGGATTAGATAAATCAAGTAGCTAATTCTGTTTTTCCTTCACCTCCCGACCAAGAGATTAATTGCTTCCTGGTCAGCATGCATTTGTTTATAACCTTCCGTTTTCGTTAATCTAAATATAGCAATCGTAAATATTCAACAGCGCTACTTTAATAACTAAACTTTCCATTTAAGCTCCAGGCGATACTCAGGGTTGCCATTACAATTTGATTTCTGACAATATTATATTGATGCACTATCATCTGTGTGCTGCTATTTTCGCATGTTCCAACTTAAAAAATATCGTTTATCTCATCGCTTATTGCAAAGTTTAAGAAAAATTTATAATTGGTAATCCGACTCAAGTTGTACCGCAACAGTTCTGTTGGGTACACGATATTCGTAAAGTATACATAAGTGATATTATTTAGCACTTTATGTTTAAGTAACATAACTATATTAAAACCAATGTAAGATAAATAAGAAATAAGGAACCACCTACCTGCACACACTTTTACAATTAGAAACGACTCATATGGCTCACTCATGTACCTGTACATAAGGATAGATTTCGAAGCGCGCCCAATGTCCGCTAATCAGAATGATTTCAGTATCACTAGTACATAGTACCTCCTTGAGTGCAAGTGGGACAGACGCGGTTCACAATGTTTTCACTATACGCACCTACTTCGAACATACTGTGTGCAGAGTTACAGCAATTAAATCGAAGCTGACAACCCTAGCCTCATGTTATTATTGATAAGGAAAGGTGGAATAGTTTTGAAAGCTCACTTTATTTATAAGACGCCAAAGGGCTTGAAATTATTAAATATTGTTTTTTACATAATAAAATTGGCGATCGAATTTACTTACCTAACGACTTATGATTAATAGTTATATCTAAATCGCTTATGATATTATATTAGTGATGAAATAAACTAAACGAGTGCAGCTCGATCAAATTTATGTGAGCTTTTATTCAAATTTCACATGTATCTTTAATTTGGCCTAGCTTATAAACTCTGATGGGATAGTACTTTAATAACCTACTATATTATAATTACCAAACCACAGCAACACATACGGTCAGTTGCACAAACACCCATTAAGGTTTAACGACGTCTTTAAGCTCTAATGGACGTCAAATTTGTATGGGTAATGTCACTTTAAACGAATGACAATATTAATGGATGTTGGTGCAACTGGCTGATAGCTGGTCAGCAAGTATAATATAATAATACAAGTAGAAATACCTTTACTATCTGTTTAATACGGCAGTAGCGTGTAAATGTTTGCTATGATTCTAACATTAGGAAAATCTTCTATCCGCTGATAGATTTCAGCAGGCGTTTTGACTATAATCCATAATAATTCCGATCCTGGTTATTATAACTATTTAACAGTATTTCACAACAAAAATATGAGACTAGAATATTCGATTGAAATAGCCAAATACTTTATTGATACCGAGATCAATTGCATAATTTATTCCACTTTCTGGTACCGTAGAAGAGTTATTATACTCGCAGGTTTCAATATTTTATGAATTCTAGCTTAAATAATATGACGTTTAAGAAAAAATGAGTTTCTAAAGTGCTATAGGGCGCTCTCTACTGACGTCAGCCCAGCAACGCCACAATGTAACTTAATTATCTCTGTAAATATTAACCAGAATGATAAATAGAAGATTAAGTTATGACCAGTGAAGTGTTTTAATGTTCATCATAAATAGATAATTCTATCTGTGGCGCTGCCGGACTGACATCAGTCTAGCAGCGCCAATATTATCTCTGAAACTACGTAACTTAGCTATCTGGCTCTATTTAATAACAGACAATTTATCGGATACTCAATTATTTCACTAATTGCGTAATAATAAACGTCAGGAGCATGGAGTCTCCTCCGACCGGGGCCCCTTCCAGATGGGGGCCCGTGACATTGCCCGTGATAAATAAGGGACTAGGTGGGTCAAGAATTCATTTCAAAATCTAAGATGGTGGTGCTGCCAGCCCAACAAACGCAAATACCACACACGCAAAATATAAAATAATCAAACGTTTTCAAAATTAAATTTTAAATCGCGTAAATTGACAGCGAATTGACCCTTCTTGATTATGAGCCACCTGGAGGTCGCGACATTTGTCACACATTTATGTGCAACAGCTTCTAAAGTTTGATATTTCAGTCTCTTGAAGTACTAAGGATATACATCACCCAGTGCGAAGGTCAGGTGCTGGAACACACTGTGGCGGCGCGCATTGCTTGTTCTTAATATAAAAAAATAATCTACCATGCTGGGTACCGAGTGTATACCTTTAGTATCACTGACTAATATAGGGAAATATCAAACTTTAGAAAGCTCTTGCACATATTTTTCACGAGCTCTTCGCCTATATAAGTCTAAACTCGGCTGTGCCTGTCTATCTTATTGCGACAACACCAATGAGCTTGAAATGGTTGTATGTGTAGGTAAGCAATTTTATTCTGATACATCTAAAAATGAAAAATAAAATACAACAATATATATGAAACATATGTATTTAAAATTAGGAAACTGTTGATTCTTCGAAGAGAAAATCACAAAATAATCATAAGAAATTATTATATAATTTACTGCTTTCTTATTTTAATTAACATTATAATCAGTTCTTTTTAAAAAGAAACATATTTTCACACCCAATTTAAATACTAAGATATCTACCATAGATGGAAAAAAGTACAAGACATCATTCGTGGCCTTAAATTACTTCCATACATCTTCTTTTATTTTACTTTCTAATATAAAACATTAATATTTATAATAATTATTTATGGTAGAATTATTATAATAAGAATGATATAATTAATAAATTTTCGTCAACTAAATATTATATACAGAAACAAATACATACAATGCATATTTTGTAATGACAAAACAGGTGTGTGTATTTGTGCTGTTCGTTTTTTCATAAATTTTTTATCATTAAAAATAATTATCATTACATACATTTAACACAATAACTAAAATTAATAACATTTTTTTCAATAAAATCTAACTGAGAAAACGGAATACAGTATATATTTTTTTAAGTTTTGAAAGTGACCAGCATCATTAAAGCCTAATGTTGTTAAAATCAAAACTAATACCTAATCATGAAAACCTTGATTTTTTGACACCAAAATAGAGAGAAAAGTTAGATGTGTCAGATAAAATAAATTAACAACGAAACGAACCTCAACATCAAAGGAGGGGCTTCAGAAAATACTTTTTTGGTCACCCATACCAGAATTGGCTTTAGCGAAAGTATTTCAACCTCTAATATATCCTACTCTCGTGATCCAAAGACAATGGCTAATGTCAACAATGAATAATAAAAATAAAAAATTTGTAAGAATGGTTAAATTATAGTTAACAAGAGTAAATGTTTAAATAAACATTATGACTAGAAAAAAACATAGTGTATAAATGTAGTTTTCTCAATTAGATTTGGCACGCATTTGGCAATCTGGACAATATTGGTTATTATTAAATTATTATTAATGAAATTATAAAAGTAAGTCTTATTTGGATAGACGAATCTATCATTGAATAGAATAAACTATATAATTAACAACTAATTCAGTACAATTCTGCTTCATATTAATTCATTACACTTTAATTTAATATATATAAAACCATTCACTACTTTTTACAAATCACAAGAAATCTATTTCGAAATATGTACACTTTCATTAATCAATATACTTAAATTTCATTCATTAATTATGGATAATTGATCAAAATTTTTATTTGATAAATCAAACAAAATCAAAACGTGCTTGAACTATCGAGACAACGTCAAATGACGATTTTTACGTCACGATGACGCATTTTAATACATACGTCATGCAACACGGTAATCTGATTTTCACAAACATTATTTGTGTGTGAATCATTTTTATTTTGTTAATTTACAAGGTCTTACAAGATAATACAACAATTGTAATGCATGTTATAATTTAAGTATGATATTAACTTAATTATCTTTAATTACTAATAAATTAATCGGTAATGATAAGTAACGATTATTAACGAAAACCTAAACAGCATATTTAATAACTATTAGCAACTTTTTGAACTTAAGAATGACATTACACAAGATAATAATATTAGCTAAAATAGTAATTAGAAAAAATATTAGGTACTTAGATAAAAATAAAACAATATTAAAGATCTTTTAACACTTAAACAAAATCATAATCGAGTGTCAGTCTTTTTTAAAGAACGTACTTCCCATTATAGATAAGTTGTTTGCCAAAAATTTTAAGTATTTAGTTATTTTTATCATTTATTACTACTTAATTAAGTAAATCATGCCCAATGCTTTAAACTTATATTGCTCAGTTCCTGAGGATTTTATTTATTTTGTTTTAATTTAGAATTTGTCAATTCTACTGCCTTTTTTCTGTAAAGTATGTCAATAATGTCTACATGTGCGATTAAATTGATGTAGTTTCGAATGTAGATATTACTAGTATATTACTACAAAAAAACTCGATCCATTGTTTCTCAAACTTTTTGGTTTCATAAACCCCGAAATTTCAGCCCATATAGCAACAATCGCTCTTCAACATATATAATCACAGTAAAGATTTATATTTGCTATCAATAAAATCAGTAATTAAAGCTAAGAAATTATGAAACCCAAGATTTTTAAACTGTAAAACTGGGAAAAATCTACTATATTGACTACTATATGTATCTTAAGCAATGATAAACATGTAGCTGCCTTAAACAGGAAACGAACGTGATTTAAATGAGAGAGAAGCTCCGGCACCCTATCGGTTTCTTTATACTCGCATATGAATAGATAAATTACGGCATTGAATAATATAATCAAATCAAGTTCAATACATAACATATGTATGATGTGATACCGCGATCTTCTCTAACGAGTACAATAGCCTTACGTAATCTAGTAATTAATATGCTTATTGGGTCACCATCGAGTATTACATGATAAAACAGCAAAAACATATCCAGACAGTAACCCTTCCTGTACGCCAATATATAACAAACCCAAGAAATCCATCATATGGCAATTCTACTTATGATCTAAGTAAAATTAGATTGACTTTTACCAAAATTTATTTCCAATGGCGACTGCTTTACTTATGTTTATTAGTAAGCCCCTCATCATGTTCGAAGCAACTTTCATAGGGATCTCTGCGCCCCAGTAGTTGAGAAACAATGTCTTAGTCGATTTTTAAAATTGAAAATTGGACATGAGGACATAAGATTATTTTTAGAAACAATTTGAGTTTCAGAGTTTTAAATTTGGGCATTTTGATAATCATTAGATCTTAAAACTTAATGGACGTTTGTGCAACTAACCATATGTATATAACGTTTAAAATTATTGCTATGACTTTTTATACGGTTTTGGCACACGATCAAGAATTTAATATGAATGTTAAAGTTAAAATAGATGGCCATGGCATTGAATTGGCTTAAATAAAACACATGTATTTCCGTCGTGTTTCATTATTCAAAAAACCTGTTAATGCTACTGATAGTGGACAGATTATAATTTAAATAAAGTAATGGAATGTATATTTCCTGATATAACCAATCGATCGCGATTAGATTATATACAAAATTTTTGGCAAACATACGTCTACTCATCCATAGAACTACGATAAAACAAATGGGTATTCACAGTAAAAATCGATATATCTTTGTGTACCCTTCAAACGCAACTTTATCAACATTGTTGCTCTCAGCGGTAACAGGTTATTTATGAACATATACTCATTAACTGTTACCGATGGACATTTATAAAATTAGCATGCAAACTATCGGCCTTGATAACAAACGCCCATCATAAATGGAATATTATTTAGCACCACCTTTCAAAGGAACTTACCATATGTCGCTAACAAGCTGATGTTTTCATCAGAACTAACCTCATCTCGCTAGACAACCACTAGCACATTATGGCACATCAAATCACATGTCACTAGCCAATAGGTACACCGAAATGTCACCAGTAAGGCACTGTTCCGTTGCCGTCGGATCTGGCTGTCCAGGAGTTGCCGAATTTGATTCTGGCTGTCGCTGCGCCGGGTGGAGCTCTCGTTGACGACTTCTCTATCGTGTAGTTCATTCCTCGGTTGTTGTCCCAGTGTTCGTCGCCTTTGCAACGGTATCCTACACAGAAATCCATCCGCCTTGAATGCACGGGCAGTTGTAATCTGAACCCAAATGTGTCGTACAATGAGATTCCACATTTATTTAAAGGTCCCGACTCAACGAACGCACAATATGTGTCTTCGCTCGTCCGCCATCCGTCCGAAGTAGACCTGACGAAGACCTCTTTGGAGAAATCCAAGTTTTTAACTTTCACAGTGCCGTCCACGGCGCACTCATCTTGTTTCACTATAACGTTCTCTAAAGAAACGCATTCTTCGGTGATCCGTCTTCTGAATTCAACATAGTCTGAAGCTGGCTGGACGAACCTCATTTCCCATATGTCCACTACAGCTGGAGGCGGCGGTTTCCTCTCCAGAGGTGGACTGGCGATCACTTTCAACGCCCAATATGGTGGAACATTGGACGGCTCCGTCATAACTTTGACCTGCTCTAAAGCTAGGCCTCTGTCGTCAGCGAAAACCACCTTTTTCTTTTTCTTCTCGGTCGGCATTCTTAGACACGATCTTGTTGCATTCTTCAAAGTAAGCTGCAGTGGTTTGATCGGTGTTGTGGTGAGACATGGCGCGGAATATCCTCTGGTTGATAACTTTGTTTGTCGCCGTATCGGCGGCGCATAATCGGATAGAAAGCCGGCGGGCGGGCTGTGTCCATAAAACAATTGCTCCGAAGCGAGCATGTCGATTGCGGCCATCTGTGGAAAAGACACGTCCTTTCAGTGCGATGATTATTGACGAACTAAACGCGGTGTAGCGCGCTGACGGTTTATATATCAGCGCGTGCGGCGATCACGAACTGATATGAATAAATTTAGTGTGACAACGTCTGAGAATAGAATTATGCGGACATTATTTGAGTTTATTGACATTGTAATGACCAATTGGGTCAGGGACGATATGCGCAAGTGTATAAAATTTATGTGTTTACTAATAATAACCATTTAATAACCATTAAAGCGGAGAAATTTCTAGTAAATGCTTACTATTTATAATCGAATATTAGTACGTAAAATGTTGTTTGACGACAGCTAACTGAAAGAAGCGAATCGTATTTTCTAATACGTCTTTGTCAAATTCTTGAGAGGTTCCCATAAAAAATAATGAGGTCCATTGATCAATCAATTTATCGATTGCATTAACAACCTTTCATATTATTTTATAATACATACGTATTACCATTATTTTTCGAATATTTAAAGTCTGCCTTATTTTTTCATTAAGAAAACATTTTTTCGAAAATCATAAACCCAGTCACGCAGTCATGTCTAAACAACGGTTATTCAATTATTAAAAGCTATCATGAATTTTAAATAACAAGTATCTATTATATTCTTAATGAATTACTTAATTTTCACTTTGTCTCTGGCACTGTGATTTGGGACTCGAACTCTTGACCTTTCGCAATCTGGGCGATTGCTGTTACCACTGAGCTACCCAGGACCTAACAGGACTGACGAATCTTTCAAGCACTTGTTACTTTTTCGCTGCTACAGAGCGTATGGTCATTGGTTCGAGTCCCATCTCAGAGTGCCAAGAACAAAGTGGATTATTTTTACATTTTTCATTAAGAATATATTTTAGTATAACATTATAAATACAAAATTGATCAAATATAATAATTGTATATATTATATCACAAAACAGTTTTCCCGCGACTTCGCCGGCGTAAATTTTATAGCCTATGTCACCTGCATTTGATGTAGCTTCCTATAAATGAAAGCAGTCAAATAGTTTCGGAGCCTATTCAATGTATATAACACACCATCAACTATTTCGTTTTTATAATATCTATTAGTATAAATAAAAGTTATTTAAAAATACTTATATTATTAATACTATATAAACAATAACAATATTTGTTGGTCACGTGTTTCGACAATAATAAACATGTTTACTTAGGTTATCGGGAGTGTCCTAATGAACGCTGCGTTCGTTGTCGCCCCACACATGACACGTTCGCTACACAACCGGCGCCCGCGCGCGACGCGTGATAGCTTTCGACACGGAGCCGAATTATGTGTGTTCGGAAGTTGGTTTTATCGGATTATGCGATACTCGGTGTGGTGTCAAGCGGTCATTACATGATCACACGTGGTATATAACTCGTGCGAAATAACATGATACCTGAAAGCCTATTCAATTTCTACGGAAACGAAAACTGGAAAAATATCGTATAGTTCTTAAACATTGGTAAGGACAAATTTAAATATATTGTTATAAATAATTTAAAAAATGAAACTTTAGTCCATAGTTTATGCAAGTTCTTCCTAAAAAACAGGACCATATATTTATTGAATGAATGAAATTGAAGAATGAATGAATCACAAAACAGAAAAAATAATTAAATAATAATTATTATATAATAATTAATAAGTCCGAGTTGCAAATGGTGTAAACCCATAATATTAGAATCAAGACCATGTTTTTCTAAACTAAGTTGGAATAATAATAATCTACATGGGCCGAGACTAACGTTAAATTGTCTGTGCATAAGAGACGATGCATGGTCCTACGTGTAAAGTGTTACTTTTGCAATAATTTCGAAAATGTACAAACATTCTTTTTCGGAGAAAGAGACAAAGGTCTTCAGATATTGTAGTTTTAGTCTACAAATACATGCCAACAAAGGTATTGAATTCAGAAACAAATGCGTATAGGCTATATTATTTTTCTTTTATTTAAGTTATCTGGCTATGTTAAGGCATTAGGAAACCAACTTCTACTCATAATGTTGAGAAAAGTAATGGGGAAGCCATGCGTCGGTACCAGAAAAGTTATGACCATGGTCATAGACTGGTAGCCAACATTAAAGAATGTTTTCGTTTGGCTCAAGAGAATTCGCTGAGCTGACTGCAAACATCCAGTAATGGAGAGCCACGTGAAGAAGAATAACCTTCTATCAATATTAAAATGCGAAAGATAACACTAGCTTCATGTGATACGTTCATGGCTTAAGCCACTAGACAATTCTGGATTTCAACAATACAATTCAACATGGAATATTTTTTATCCCAAAAATCATGCCACATTGTAAACAGGAAAAAACAAAAAGCAGATCTTTGCATGGAAACTAGATAATTTACTTAAATTCTTATGCGTAATTATAATACTACTAATTGATGAAAAAGTCACATATGCGAAATTTTCTTTTAAATAAATTATTTTAAAAATATATTACTAAGGTTACAGATAAAAAAAGGCCACTACAATTAGGTATTACAAACTCTTTTGAAGTCGAAAAACGTCGGAAGTCAGATTGATTGAAACCTACTTTTTATTACACTTCACTGGAGGCAACGAGCGTGTAATCTTTTTAATAAAACAAACGCCATGCGGAAGTTATTTTTTTTTCTGCATGACTGATGATTAATTAAATGCGATTAAAAGAGTGAGTTGAATGCACTCCGATAAGAGACTGATTTAAAATCGTAAAATATTATTTAAAATCTATTACTGTGAAGAGCTAATAAATATTTTCGTCCGTTCTTCTTGTATGGCTTCTTGTAAAAGGCGTTTTCAATAAAATGACTACCTTGATCTATCCACGAATTAAGACGATAAATAGTTAAATTCTGTACGTGTAAACATGCACTAATCACTTACAGCGCTACTTATAAACAAGGTTTAGCGTCAGAGTAAATTTACGCTAAAATTGCAATTTTAGTATTATCCATATTACACAGTGAATAAGCAAATCTACTACCTTCTAAGAGCAAATATTACTACCGTAGAACCTCCTAAATTTTGACTTAGTCAAAATTTAGCAGTCTCAGCGTATATTTACTTCAACGCCTTGTTAAACCTTCTTTATAAGTAGCACTGTTAAAATTTAGTTAACTACCCATCAACTTAATCAGTGTACACCCGCCATAAGGATGTGTACAAATCTGTTAAAAATATGTAAAGTGTCTCACGAAAGTATGCGTTAGTATGAATGTTAAAAAAAACCGATCAAGAGTGAGTAGGACCCGAGCACGAAGGGTTCCGTGCTGAAAACGAGCAAAACAATCACATTTGTTGTATGGGAGTCCCCTTAAATATTTTATTTATTCTGTTTGTTAGTATTTTCTGTTATAGCGGCAACATAAATATAACAGGATACCCGTTTTACCCTTTAGGTACGTAACCCTAAAATAGCAAGATATTCTAGTAATCACTGGGTGACGGCAAGGTAATTCTTGTCCCGTATCATAAAATAACGAAGTAATTCAAAAGGATCACTAACATAAGCTAGTAATAATAAAATTATTTATTTTACCATTAATTAGTATCGTATTTAAAATTGATCACCAGGGATCAAATAATGAATCCTTTCTTAAGACCGCTATTGAAGAGCGTGGTGGACCACTACAATTTTCCCAAGAAAATATCGACATAGGTACCAATAGAAAGTGGTACATAGAAACCCTCAGCATTGCGAACATCGACGCAGAGATGTGGATTTACAATGTAGTCTTTATTTGTGTCACTATACTGGCCTACTGATATCAAAGAATGACTTAACCGTCTCCTTAGTAGAAACAACAGGCCAATTCTGCTACCTAATGTCGAATATTTTTAGTGCAATATCTTCCTAACACATCAATGGTGACAGATATATAATATTGGACTTCAGGTAGATAGTACAATGGCAAAACGCAAGTACTTGAGAATCTATTGAAGTGTGTTTAATCGGCCTGCTGTTGCGCGAAATATGACGCGAGCTTTGGACTTCTTCGTTAAGGGTTTGAATCCCACTTTGGGCACTTGGCATTAGTGAATTGTTTTCCTTTAAAATAAGTATACATCTGTTATCTTAGTTACTTTTCACAATTAAAAACAGAACTAAGACTCTTAATTTAGTTTTGTTTGTGGAACAAAATCGAAGCAAAATTGCTTTAATTGTATAAAGTTGGTAATACTTGACAAACTTGAAGTGCTCGCGTTCGGTCAGTCTGCAATATTAAACAACATTGGCAAGGCCCGGTCTTAAAATAGTTGACCAAAAATTCACTCTGGAACTCCTTGCTTCGGAAGGCACGTTAAGAGATCGGTCCCAGCTCCATCTGCAGTCGATAACATATGATGTGTAACAGCCCATTATTTCCATTTGGATTCTATTCCATCCATAGGCTATTCCAACCATTGCTTGTTTCTGAAGACAGTTGAAAAAAAAGTATTTGTATTATGCAACAATGGTTGTGCAACACCTTTCAAACTGAAAGCGATTGCAATAGATTTAAAATTAGACAATTAGGGGGCTGTCCCAGCAATAGGGAAATAAATAGGGTAATGATGATGATACTTGTCACAGTTTTATTGGTTACGATGGCATGTGTTTATAATAAAATCACGCATGTGCTAAAATGAGCTGACCTTTGACATGTGATAATGGAGGCACACCTATCTCGTGGTCACAAGAGGAGCGCGTGAATCATAACAACACCATTTGTAGGTGATGCTTTAGGACTTCAGGATACCGTTACCGTTTACTTCTTGTAGTAATGGCGTATGGTTCGGTTGCTAGAACGGAAAAGAAAAACTGTATTTTTGGAGTCAAAAACAAAATAATCTGTATGCAAATAAGCCTCTGTCACCTTAGGGTTGCAGTTGAAAACCAGCGTACTCTTATGCTAACATTATGCTGAGCTGATGTCCCATTTGACACCTAGTTTTTAGTAAAAAAAAATATTGTGTTTACTTTTATTTTTATTATTATGGGTATGTTCCGATATACACTGCGAGCACTGCGCAGTGGTCTT